AGCCAACTGATTTTCGACAAAGTACCTAAATATATCACATGTGGAGGGGATAGTCTCTTCAACAGATGGTGCTGGCAGAACTGGAAAGCGATATGCAAAAGTTTGAAACAAGACCTTTACCTAACACCTTATTAAAAAACCATCTCAACATGGATTAAAGACCTAAATGTGAATTCCAAAATTATAAAGGTCATCAATGAAATAATAGGGACAAATCTGAGGGCTGTAATACAAGGAACACAAAGACTACCAAACATTTTGAGAAGTACACAAACAGAAGTAGACAAAATGCATGATTGGGACATACTAAAAACAAAAAACTATGTGCATCAAAAGACTTCACCAAAAGAGTAAAAAGGAAACCCACAGAATGGGAAAAATCTTTTGCAATGACACATCAGACAAGGACTCATGCATAAAATATATAGGAAACTACAACACCTCTACAAAAAAAAGACAAATAACCCAATTAAAAAATGGGCACAGGACATGAACTTCATCAAAGAAGAAATCCAGGCAGCCAACAAACATATGAAGAATTGTTCATGATCACTAGCCATTGTTGTTGTTGTGTTGTTGTGTTGTGCTGTAGAATCAGTTCTGACTCATAGCGACCCTGTAGAGGGAGGGTTTCCAAGGCTGTAAATCTTTACGGAGCAGAAAGCCTCATCTTTCTCCTGCCAAACAGCTGGCAGTTTCGAACTGCTGAACGTGAGGTTTGCAGCCCCCATTAGTAACCACTACACTACCAGAACACTAGCCATTGGTTGGTTGGTTATGTGCCGTGGAGTCGGTTCTGACTCACAGTGACCCTGTAAAGGGTTTCCGAGGTTGTAAATCTTTACGGGAGCAGAAAGCCTCATCTTTCTCCCGTGGAACAGCTGGTAGTTTCGAACTGTTGACCTTGCGGTTTACAGCTCGATTCGTAACCACTATGCTACCAGAGCACTAGCCATTAGAGAGATGACATATCTCACACCAGCAATAACAGCACAGATCAAAAAAGTAGAGGTTAATAAATGCGGAGAGACTGGGGCCCTCCTACATTGTTGGCAGAATTGCAAAGTGGTCCAATCTTTCGGGAAAGCAATATGGCACTTCCTCAGAAGGTTGGAAATAGAAATACCTTATGATCCAGCAATTCCTCTACTTGGTATTTAGCCACAAGAAATACAAGCCATAACACGAGTAGATATATGCACACCAATGTTCATAGCAACACTATTTACAATAGCAAACAGATGGAGACTGCCTAAGTGCACATCAATTGAAAAATGGATAAATAAACTGTGATACATACACACAATGGAATACTATGCTACCTTGAAGAACAACAAGGAAGCTGCAAGCCACTGCATAACATGGATAAATCTTGAGGACATTATGCTGAGCGAAATTAGTTAGTCACAAAAGGAGAAATTCTGTATAGGACCATTATTGTAAAAGACTAAGAGAAAAAGAACCCACCCTAAAAGGGGGAAAATTTTTTATATATATATATATTTGCTGATCACCAGTATGTATGGGATGAGAGGAGGGGAGGGAGGGGAGGGGAAGATAGAGCACAGGGTAGGGAATAAGCACAGGATAGCTTGGCTGCTGTGGTGGGGGGTGCGGGGAGCATACACAAGAAAGGGAGGGGAATGGAAGAACAAGACTGATAGGAGAACAGTTAAGCAGATTTGCATGGGCTAAGTGGGACAGAGGTAAATGATGAGGCATGCGCAACCTTGGAACAACAGGGCTCCGGGATACATGGATTGAGTCATGTTTTGAAAGGGTAAAAGAGGGGAATAATGTTAAGATGCCTGGCTGTCTTTTGAATCTTGGTTTCCCTTGCCTACTATTGCAAAATAGACACTAGAGGTAGGGAGAAAGAATAGTCAGAAACATCACTACAGAAAGCTTGTAAGACTGTCTTCAGCCTACAACTGATTGGAATACCTTCAGGGGGTTAGAAGTTGCCCAGTAAAAAAGGCTTCCTGGGGAGCCTTTACATGCACAAGACCATAGGTGGAATGCAGAACACCATCCAGAATCATCTGAGGTAGGAAATTTCCACTGATAATGATGAGTAGACCAGCCTGGAGTGGCCAGAAGAACAGAAGATACTTCATGAAAGACTGGCAGGAAAACTCTGAAATAACAGCAGTCTGATTGATTGATTACTACAAGAACAAGTAAGGTGTTCACCTGGGAGCCATCATGGCAAGTGGTCAGGACCCCTCAGAGCAAACTCCCTTCCAAGACTGAGACTCAAGGGGAATACATGAGCAGGCAGGTGGTCTGGCTGGTAACCATGTTGATCACCGATACGAGAAAGAGGGGGAAAAACAACAATAAAGTTGCGAGCTAAGCCCGGCCACATTCGATAGACTTCTGTGAACCTGGGCGGAGACCTGAATGGTCAGCAATTATGGCAAGATCCGGGGACTCCTGGGCCCAAAGCCAGTGACATGGCTACAAACGACTAGAGCAGAGAGTGAAGCATACAGCTGATATGAAGTAAGGGGAGATGCAGAAGAACACCCATACTTGCAGATAGTACCCACTTGACCTGGCTTCCATGGCTGGATGATCAGAACTTGACTAGAAGGGGAGAAGAGTAATCTGCTACAATTTCAATTTGATGAACTTTACCTATACTTATGAATGTAGTAGCTCAAAAAAGGGAACAAATCTTTACAGCGAGCATCACTCTCACCCCCTCGGTACACAGGGCTAAAGGGATGGGCAACTTAGACACTGGCTACCCAAAATGGGGGCCTATAAAGTCAAGAAGTGACTGGCTTACAGGCTTTCAAGAAGGAGCCTAGTTACAGATGGGGCGGGGGAAGGCAGAATCTCCACTGAATGATTCCCAATCTGTTGGGACAGGGCTGGTGAAAGGAAATGGGGATAAGACTCTTGTGGTACAATAGTGAATAATTGCCATCAGGACTGACTGTGAGGGTGGGACATATAGAGGTAGACGTTTTTTGACAAAAGGAGAGGAAAAATTGATTTTGCAGCCCAGAAGCAGAGGTCCTTGGGACCATCAAGTGAGAAGAGCGGAGAGCAGGACCCTACCCAGAGAGGCAGAGACACCAGGGATGGAGACAGAGAGGATGATGTGGACAGATGGAGAAGCTGGGTACACTCGACTCAGGGAGGTAGCGGGGCTGACGTTCGGCGGTGGGCCTATGGGGTGTACCCTTTGGTTATTTGATGATGCATGAGGGGATTGTAATCATTGCAATGAAACAAAATACGATAGGATGAATGTAAAACTGATATTCTTCCATATAAACCTCACAATAAAAACATAAAAAAAAGGATAAAATTTAATTACTACAATATGCTTTTTGAATTTAGTTAAATACAAACTACATTCATTTCTACATTTCTGTTGTGTGTATGAATGCTAGGAATATATTTACATATAAATGTTCATACATGAAGTAATTAGGAGATCATTTAATCTACTTTGTAATGGTAACCAAAATTTTGTCATTATTCTTTGCCATATCATATGTAGATACGTTATTAGGGACCCTTTTTTTTTTACAACAATAAAGTAGCTGTGCAAATAATATAAAGGTTACTTTGGCATATAACTAACACTATCAATCTATGAAATATGGTAGCTATCACTGTACATATGTATCATTCAATTGTATTTAAATGTGTACACTATTTCTGTATATACAGAGCTCTGGTAGCATAGTGGTTACAAATCGGGCTGCAAACCTTAAGGTCAGCAGTTCGAAACTACCAGCTGTTCCACTGGCGAAAGATGAGGCTTTCTACTCCCGTAAAGATTTACAGCCTCGGAAACCCTGTACAGGGTCACTATGAGTTGGAACTGACTCCATGGTCATAACAACAACAACATTCTGTATATAAATGAGAATTCTACAAAACAAATTACCACTGTCACTGTCATATGCTGTTCTCTATATATATTCATGAACTTATCCTATTTTTCATCTATACTTATACCTTCAAATAGTTCCCATATGTAAAGGTTTTGTTACATTTTTACCTACTAGAGCATTATTGCTGTTTTTGTTAAGTGCCGTTGAGTAGGTTCTGACTCATAGCGACCCAGTACAGGAGCAGCTGAGCATTAAGAACCAAGAAATAGCTAAGGGTCTCATATTTAAGTATGTAACAGAAAACAAAATTTGTGTGGTATTTTTGTATACATCTACTCTTATACTGTTTTAAAGTATACCTTTTATAAAAGAAACAAATCATTTGCATAATATATAATTTTTCACTTTGAGACATACACTGAATGGTACTCATTAAATATGTAATTTGATGAGTTCAAGATGTCATAAGAAATACTCAACTTTCTAATAAAAAGTTTGAAATGATAACATTTGAAGTGTTCTTAAAAGCAAAAGGCAGAGGGCAATAAGAAGAAACTTTATATACTGTGTAGCTATTATGCACTAGTAGCTACACTGGAGAAACTAATAGTTTTAGAGCTACTTAAACAATTCACACTACAGGGTACGAAGCTCTGATAAGGTCAAGGCCACAACTGATCTATTGAGCTAGGGAAGGTTAAAACTGATCTTCATTTATTCAGTCATTTCTTCAACAAATATTATTGGGTTCCTTAAAATAAGTGTTAGACCCTATGACAAATGCGATCTCTACTCCCAAGAAGCTAGCTAAGTAACATAAAAGAACATGCAAAGAAAATATCAAACAAATTATTACCATATTGTAGGCCCCAGTTAGGTCACAGAAAACCACCCTGAGGAACTTAATTTGAGTTTGCAAAGGAGGAAAGTGTTTTCCAGGTACAAAATATGTTATTAGTGCCGTCGAGTTTGTTACAACTTATACCCTGTATACGGTTTCCAAGGAGGAGTTGGTTGTGTTTGAACCTCCAACCTTGTGGTTAGCAGTCCAGTGTTTATTTGACACCACCACATACAGAAAACTAAAGCATACAACTTGTAAAATCCCAGAGAAGTATAAAAAAACAAAGTACACTTGATGAAATGAAGGAAGCTTCTTTGGCTAGACTACAGAAAGGAAGAGTAGAATGGTAAGCATACAAAAGTATGGATATGAAACCCTATCATAAAATAATAGGAAAACTGTTAAAGGTTTCAAAGGAGGGAGTCAAACAGTCAAATTTACATCAGCAGCTTTGGCTCATTGGTGGCAGCAGAAGCTGTTTTGGAGTGGGCTAAACCACTGCTCACTGCTATGCAGTGATTCCTACTCAGTGACCCTACAGAACAGAGTAGAACTGTTTTTCAAAACTGTAAATCTTTATGGGAACAAACAGCCTTGTCTTTCTCCCTTGGTGTAGCTGGTGGGTCCCAAACCTTTGGCCTGTGGTGGTGGTTGTTGTTGTGAAGTGCCGTCGAGTCAGTTTCTACCCATAGCGACCCTATATAGAGTTGGTTTCCGAGGAGCAGCTGGTGAGCTTGAACCATGGACCTTGAAGTTCAAACGGCTTTGCAGTCTGGTGCATTAACCCACAGTGCCACACCAGGACTCCAGCCCAAAATGTAACCCACTATGCCACCAGAGCTCTGGTAGCGTAGTGGTTACAAATCGGGCTGCGAGCCACAAGGTCAGCAGTTCGAAACTACCAGCTGTTCTGCGGGAGAAAGATGAGGCTTTCTGTTCCCGTAAAGATTACAGTCTCGGAAACCCTGTACAGGGTCGCTATGAGTCGGAACTGACTCCAGGGCACATAACAACAACAATGCCACCAGAACTCCTTCGAGTGGGATGTTGTTATTGTTAAGTGCCATTGAGTTGATTATGATTCCTAGGGATTTTGAGTAGTGGCTGGTGGCTTTGAACCACACACCTTGAGGCTCAAACTAGACTTTGAAATTAGTAACTTGTTTTAAAAGTTTGGCTGAGAAAGTAAGAGAAAGGGTTGTAGATTAAATACAGCAGATGTATTTGTTTATTACTTTCATCTGATGTGTTTTTAAAGCTAAGATTCATTTGAGCATGTTAATGGTAAAATGGCAACAGAGAGAACAAAGTTGAAGACAGTGAAGATAGTTTATTCAGATAACTGAAAGGAGTATACTATACCACAGGACTCATGAATTTACAGACAATAAATCAGTCCAGTTTTCATTGGCTAATTTTCATTTTTCTTCCTAGTCTGTCTTAGTCTGGAAGCTATATAGAAGTCTGTCTACTCTGGGTGACCTCCTATAGCATAGCTTCCAGTATTACAGCAACAACCAAGCCACCACATAGTCCCACTGAAAAGTAGAGTATTACCTGAGACTAAAACTTGCTTACTTTGGATGCATCACCAGGAAGAACTGATTGCTGGAGAAGTCTGATAAAGTGGAGGGCCAGCAAAAGCAAGGGAACCCTCAAGAGATGGGCTGACACATGGCTTCAGGGATAAACTCAAACATATCAATGATCATGAAGATGGTGCAGGGCCATACAATGTTTTGTTCTGTTATACACAGGGTTGTCAGGAGTTGGAGACGACTCAATGGCAACTAACAAAACAACAGCGAACTCAGTCACATAATTGCTCCAACAAAGCTTGATATGTCTACGTGAAATCAGAGAGATTCATCCAGGGACAGTGTTCTTACTGGTGAATCCAGAAAAAAACTACTTAAGAAAGAACTTCAAGAAAAAAGTACTTTAACTGATCAATCACAAGTCCAAGATAAATAAAGAAGAAAATAAAAACAGTAAGGGCAAAATACAAAGATCTCAATAGAAAACCGAAAGAAGGCAACATGGCAAGATGTCTTATTTGTTTCAAAGTTTGAAAATTTCTGATCCCTAAAAATGTGGCTCTACATCGATCAATGCTAGAAACTAAGGGCATCAAGCAACTTTCTACTACGAGTGCCCTCTTTGTATATCATCCTTATTCTTTTGCAATGCTTTGTTCTCTGGAATTCTCCCCACCCAATCACACAAACTTTAAAAGGCCAAGAAAATCAGGGTGGAACATGAGAGAAAAGGAAGTCAAGGAATAGATTGTTTGAGTTTGCTTTTAATCTAGGCAGTAGTTTTCCAAGCTATTTTATAATATGCAGACAATTTTGTTTAATCAGTATATTGCATGGAAACACAAAAGGTAAAACAGACCTATGGGGTAGCTGCTCTGCAGAAGGTAGACATTGGACGATTGTTGCATTCCTCTTATTTATCCTCCTCCCTCTTTCCTACACCCACAGGTCTAGCTGCAACCTAGGATCTCAGAGCACAAATGAACCTTTTGTTCAAAGTGACCAAAAAATACAAAGGCATGCTTTTTTAAAGCATGTATCCTAATGGATCACTTACTTTGAGACAACATAAAGATCTATAGGCACAAAGATCGATCTGCTAAAGTTCTAGCAAATAATGAAGAAACCCGTTAACCAATAGCACCTACAACAACAACATACTTATCAGAAGGATCTCTTCGGAGAAAAATGTGTATGTGCCCAAAGTTTCATTGACATTTTGTTTAGGCAACTTTCAAGTTTTTTGTCAATAAGTCATTATCTTCATTTTGAAAAATAGGAAGTCAAGTCCCAGAAAGAGAAATTAACTTGAATAGTCACAAAGTTGATTAAGTAAAGGGGCCATGATCTAACCCATCTGATCTCAAAGTTCCTAAACGATTTCATCATGTTGTTATTAAGTGCTGTCAAGTCAGTTCCAGCCCATAACGATCCTGTATAGGGTTTCCAAGGAACATCTGGCGAGCTTGAACCACCAACCTTGTGACTTAAACTGACTTTGCAGCCCAGTGCATTAACCCACAGCGCCATGCCTTCAAATTCATGAATTTGTTCCTCTATTACAATTTATGTATAAAATTCTCTGGCTAAAAGCTCACAGAATTTTTTTTTTCACATATAACATTAAAAGCAGATCAGTCCTTGAGAATGATCATAAAGCCATTCTACAGCAATAGTGTTATAGCATAACATAGTCATGCTAACAGATCTCTGCTGGATCTGTTTTCTTTTGGTAAATAATAACTCTCCCCACTGCTGTTGTAGTAAAAAGTTGATGCTACTACTGCGCACATAGACTTCACTTGTTTGCACCTCACTAGCTTTCTCTGCAACAAACCCAGAAGGGCTGAAATTGAGAAATTCACCGAATCAAAGCTGAAGGCAGAAACACAAGAGAAAAATCCACTGGCCACTGCTTTCAAAAGAAAGATTGAACAGAAGAAGCAAGTAGGTGAATCATAATGAGCTGCCACTGTCAATATGCACTGTACATTCTACAAGCATTGTCTATTATTTTCCATCTTTTAGTTGTTAAACTTTATAAGATATGTAAATTTGGTTGGATTAAATTTAACTTTGCTACCCCTATTCATATCAAAGATTCTATCTATAACTACTAACAACAAAGACAGCGACTGCCACTCCCATCAGCTTGTCTGACTGGCAGGTTCCGACTACACAGCATTTCAAAGGAAAGTCTGGTGGGTTTGAACCACCGACCTTGCAGTTAGCAGTCTAGTGCATACCCTATGGTGCCACATATGTAGAGTCAAAGCAAATCTTCTCCAAGGTATCTAGAAGCATAAAATGCAGTTCAACTGGAGCAACATTTTTTTAAAAAATTCTAATCATTTTAATTATTGGAACACACAGTTGAAAATTATGCAAAGAAGTTTCAAAACCTGGAAGGGGAGGGGAAGTTGATGCTGCTTCGTTAGACTTGTTACTTATTATACTTTTATTCTATACCCATAACACTGAGGAAGTTCTACCCTAGAAGTACTGGTATGGTGCTGTAGGATGAGAACTGGACTGCTAACTGGAAGGTAGGCAGTTCAAACCCACCAGAAACTTTATACAGGTTGTTATGAATCAGAAGCAACTCAACAACCACCACCACCACCATCAGCAGCCCCACCCTAGAAGTCAGTGTTTGTTAATCAGTATTATTAACCCAGAAAGGTTGGCTTGCAGCAAAAAATGGCAACCACAAAAATTTGTTTATACAGAAGCAACAGAAAGTCAAGCAAACTAATATTTGAGAAAATAATTACTGAATAACAAGATCATGAGAAACAGGAATCCAAGTAAATTTAAATTATGCTACGGCAAAGTTGATTTTCAAGAGCTTCAAAAAAACAACATACAGATTAGATACATAATTAAGAAAATGAAAAGGAAGGTTGGATACATAATTAGGGAGTGAACACAAAGGAGACAGGAATTCAGACCAGCTCATTCCAGTTTGCCCCCCTACTGAGAATATGCATCTCCACTCAGATATAAGAGTCTTGGAGTCCTAGTGTGGTGCTTTAGGTTAAGAGCTGAACTTCTAACCACAAAGTTGGTGGTTCACCACCACCCCCCGCCCATTCGTTCCTACGAAACCTCACACAGGGTCACTATGAGTTAGATCCAACTTGACAACACTTAACTACAACAACATACTGACTCTTATGTACACCAGATTGTGCTTATATACACACCAAGTGATTCTTAAAACCTCCCAGGTGATTCTTATATGCATAATCTACTGTAAAAATGCAGATTTTTATTAGGTGTATCTAGGGTGGGACCAGTCACTAGAGACGGATATCTTGTTTGGTAAGGTGGAGGGTCAGAGAAAAAGAGGAAGACCCCAACCAGATGGATTGGCCAAGTGGCAGCATCGATGGACTCAATCAAGTGTGGCAACAGTAGTGAGGTTGGCCCAGGATTGGGCAGTGTTTCGTTCTGTTGTGCATAAGGTTGCCATGGGTTGGTACTGACTCGATGGCACCTAACAACACATCTAGGGTGGAAAGGCATCAAAAACCTAATGGCTCACAACACAACAGTGGCTGTTGCCCATGTTGTTGGGGGTCTTCTTCTTTTTCACTGACCCTCCACGTTACCCAGCTATATGTTCTTTTCCAGGGACTGTTCCCTCCTGATAATATGTACAAAATATGGGAGGATGATTCTGGATATCCTGGTTTCTAAAGAGCATTATGGCTGTACTTCTTCCAACACAGATTTGTTTGTTCTTTTAGCAGTCCATGGTACTTTTTATATTCTTCACCAACACCATAACTCATATGCATCAATTCTTTTATGGTCTTCTTTATTCATTGCTCAAAACTTTCAAATGCATATGAGGTTCTTGAAAATACTTGGGTCAGGTGCACTTTAGTCCTCATACTGACATCTTTGCTCTTGAACACTTTAAAAAAAGTCTTGGATAGCAGATTTGCATAACGTAGTATGTTGTTTGATTTCTTGACTGCTACTCCAAACAAAATGAAGTCTATGACAACTTGAATCTTTTCTCCATTTATCTGGATGTTATTTATTGCTCCAGTGGTGAGGATTTTTGTTTTCTTTTCATTAATGTGCAACCCATACCAAAGGCTATGGTCTTTGATCTTTATCTGTAAGTATTTTAAGTCCTCTTCACTTTCAGCAAGCAAGGTTGTATCATTTGCATATCGCATGTTGTTAATAAGTCTTCCTTTAATCCTGATGCATATTTTTCTTCCTGTAATCTAGCTTCTTGGATAATTTGTTCAGCATACAGATTTAATAAGTATGGTGAAAGAATGCAACCCTGGCACACACCTTCCTAATTTTAAACCATTCAGTGTTCCCTTGTTCTGTTCGAACTGCCTCTTGTTCTATGTACAGGTTCCTCATGAGCACAATTAAGTTTTCTGGAACACTCATTCTCCACAATGTTGTCCATAGTATGTCAGGATGCACACAAATGAAAGCTTTTAATATTCAGTAAAGCACAGGTAAACATCTTTCTGGTAGTCTCTGCTTTCTGGCATACCTTTCAGTGGAAAATATTTGTGCTCTGCTTCTCTGACAGGTTTCTGCCTTATAAGTTTCTGTCTTAAATAGGTTCTGGTTTTCATGGGTGTAATAGTAAGGGTTCTGGATCATCTTGACTAGTCCAGGATTTCCAGTGGTTTACAAGTTGAGATATGCTTACTATATGGTGATATAATATTAATACATAGCTAATCTATGATGATTGGCTATGAGCAGCCAATCAACGAAAAGGATATTTCCTTGGGGATGTGGCCTGTTCCTAATATAACGGATACATGGAAAAGGCTCTCTCTCTCTTCTGCTAGGGACATGGGACTCTGCAATTGTAAGACATTTCCTTGATAATAAAGTTCTCTCTATATACATACATATATACATGTATGGGGTCCTTGTGTGGCGCTATGGGTTAATGCGGCAGACTGCAAAGATGTTTGAACTGTAAAGTTGGGAGTTCAACCTTACCAGCTGCTCCTCATAAACCCTATATACAGGGTCACTATGGGTGAGAACCAACTCAACAGCACTAACAACAACATATACATATATATGGTGGTGGTTATGTGCCATGGAGTTGGTTCCAACTCATAGCAACCCTGCATAGAGTTTCCGAGGCTGTAAATCTTTACGGGAGTAGAAAGCCTCATCTTTCTCTAGTGGAACTGCTGGTAATTTCAAACTGCTGACCATGAGGTTCGCAGACCAACTTGTAACCACTATGTATATATATGGCAATTATGTGCCTTGGAGTTGGTTCCGATTCATAGCAACCCTGTATCGGGTTTCTGAGGCTGTAAATCTTTACAACCCGATTCATAACTACTACACTACCTTATATATATATATATATATATGTATATATACATATGTATATACACATATGTATATGCACCATCTTCGTGATTCTTGTCATGCTTGAGAGCACTGTTGCAGTCACTGTGTTATTTCTTTCTGTTGGAGGTCTTCTCTTTTTCAATGACCCTCTAACTTTACAAATCGTGGTGTCCTTTCCAAGGAACTGGTCCTTCCTGATAACATGACCAAAGTATTTGAGATGAAGTTTCACCATCCTTTCTTCTAAGGAGCATTCTGGCTATATTTCTTCCAACACATATTTGTTTGCTCTTCTGGCAGTTCATAGTACTTTTACTATTCTTCGCCAACACCACATTTCAAATGCATCAATTCTTCTCTTGTCTTTTTTATTTGCAGTTCAGCTTTCTCATGCACATGTTGTTGTTCTTAAATACAAACTCATAGTTACCTGTATAGCATTTCCAAGGAATGGCTGGTGACCTTGTACTTAGCAGTCCAGTGCTTATCCTATACCATCATTCCAGGACTCCTCTCAAATGCATATGAAGCAACTGAAAATACCATGGCTTAAATTAAGCACAGTTTAGTCCTAAAAGCGACATCTTTGCTCTTTAATACTTCAAAGTGGTCCCATGCAGCACATTTGCCCAATGTAATACATCTTTGATTCCTTGACTGCTGTTTCCATGAGCAATGATTGTGTATCCAAGTAAAATACTATCCCTGACAATTTCAAACTTGATATCTGTGACAACTTCAAACTTTTCTGTTTATCATGTTATTTGTTGCTCCAGATATGAAGAGTTTTGTTTCATTAACATTGAGTTGTAATTCATACAGGTGGCTTACATATGAGTTTAGATGTGAGAATTCATAAAATGCTGAGACTTTGCCTAGAGACTTGCTCATCTAGAATTGCAATTATTCTGGGGGAAATTGACAATGCTTGGCTATTTAGGTCCTTAAAGTTGGAATTATGAAATTTAGGTTCAAGTCCTTAAACTTTTCAAACAAAAGTAAAATAATACTGAGCATTTCGATAAAAATAATTTGCCCTTGTAACATACGTTGTAGTTTAAAACATAGATTCGTTTAAAGAACCATGACCAGTAACAGCTTTCTGGAGCAATTAATATACTTCCATTTTAAAAAGAAATACTGAAGTCCAGAAATTCAGAAGTGCCAGAGATAAAGACTGAACCTACAGAAATGTTTGCATGTGCTGCCTCTTCCAGTCCAAACTTTTAAGTCTTTGTTTTTGTTAAATGCCGTCGAGTTGGTTCCAGCCCATAGCCACCATGTATAGGGTTTCCAAGAAACGACTGGTGAGCTTGAACCTCTGGCCTTGCAGTTCACACCTACTTTGCAGTCTAGAACATTAATCCACAGTGCCACACCAGGATGCCTGTGTCTTAGCAGGAGATTTATTCTAGTCCCAAAACTTCAGAACAGATTCCAAGATTCTGACTGCTTTACAGTGCTGCATCTATGTTTATTCACTTTGTCAAGAACATATAATATAGCTTATGTGGCTGTATGTAAAACATTACATTTGATTTGTATAGTTCAACTCTCTGAGAAAAATACACCTCCCCCCCGCCCCCCACAAAGAATCA